AGGACGTGTACTTGTGTGTTTGTCTAGACCCGTGGGTGGGGTGGGGAAGAAAACTGTAGGCAGTGTGTGTGTGTGTGTGTGTGTGTGTGTGTGTGTGTGTGTGTGTGTGTGTGTGTGTGTGTGTGTGTGTGTGTGTACTATTGCACTGCCCTGTCAGTCAGGAAACACTCACGGGGCTCGGACAGGAATGTGAGACATGCAGGAACAGTGCAGCCAACTGCTCCTGCCAAAGTGTGTGTGAGGGGAGCAGGAGGCAGCAGCATTCCTAGTGGCTGGCTCCTAGGGAAGTACTGGGAAAGACACACAGCCACGATTTGACTCCAGTGACCTTCCTACTCTAGTTCCTTAGCCAGGCCCATTGTCCCAGGGACCAACGATGTCCCCCTTGTTCTTGTTCCAGCTCACCACTACATGGAGGCCAGAGGGAGGGAGTACTCAATATATTCCACAACATTCCCCGGGAAAATCAAGAAAAGCAGGAAGTGTAGGCAGGGCTTCCCCCAGAGGCCTGTGGACCAGGGAGTGGAGGGTGTGGTGCCTTCTGGGCTTGGCCAGGCCAGAACAGGCATGAATGGGGTCAAGGGATGGTGAGGTGGGGAGGCTACAAGGCTGCCTTGCCCTCCCCATCACCCAGTCTAGGCACCTGCTAGGTCTAAGGTCTCTTGAAGTCCCCCTTCTGCCATCTCCACTTCAGGCCAGCCCAACTCACCCTTAAGAGGACATCCCGGACAATCCATTGGGAAAGCTGCCTCACCCAGGAGTGAGCTAGGAGGGAGGGTAAGAACAAGATTGTGCCTACTCAGCCCTCTGTTCATTGAGAGGATTAGGGGTCTGGGTGGAGCATGAACGCACAGGCGCAGACAGGCTGGGGAGAAAGCGATTGCTGGGAAAAAAAAAAAAAAAAAAAAAAAAAAAAAAAAAAAAAAAAAAGGAGAAAAAAACTCTTTAATCATCAAGTTAAAAAAAAAAAAAAAAACAGCAAACAAAAAGGGAAGAGGAACTCCTTTACATGTGAATTTAAAAAAAAACAAACAAAAACGGAAGAGGAATTTGTATACATGTGAATTTAAAAAAAAACAAACAAAAACGGAAGAGGAATTTGTATACATGTGAATTTAAAAAAAAAAAAAAAAAAAAAAAAAAAAAAACAGCAAACAAAAACGGAAGAGGAACTCCTTTACATGTGAATTTAAAAAAAAACAAACAACAAATACCTTTTTAGTGTAAGTATGTCCCATGGGGCTGGAGAATACTGTTCAGTGCCTGTCTAGCATGCTCAAGGCTCTGGGTTCCATTCCCAGCACCAGACCACCTCCCCCCCAAAATTATACATAACCACAGATCTATAATTTACATACACATTCTAGAGGTAGACAGATACATATGTATGTCCAAAATTATTCTTTGTGCACCCAACATTCAAATTAAGCAAATTAAACATCCTGCCAAGCACTGGAAGACAGAGGCAGGCAGATCTCTGTGAGTTCGAGGCTGGCCTGGTCTACAGAACGAGCTCCAGGACAGCCAAAACTATACAGAGAAATCCTGTGTCAAAAAATCAAAACAACAAAAAACCCCACCCAAAACAAAACAATTTAGCCTTCTATATTTCATTAGCAACCCCGAGAGGCCATCTCTGGGGAACAGCAAGCTCTTCCCAAATGAACATCTCTTTCATCCCTGTTTAGAGCCTAGACTCTCGGCCATACTGCCTGAATTCAGATCTCTCCATCACTTTTAGCTTTTGTTTTTTTTTTAGACAAAGCCTCGATATATAGCCCTTTCTGGTCTGGAACTCAATATGCACTCCAGGCTGGCTTCTCTGCCTCTCCCAGCTGGGATTCCAGGCATGGGTCGCCACAGCTGGCTTTCTTCTATCCTGTTACCTAATGGTAAAATGAGGCTCTTGGTACTAAATGAGATGATACACAATCACATGGCTCGATGATATGAAGGTGTTAGTACTCGTTAATTATGGTAATAAAGTGTGTCCTTGGAACCTTGACTGTGGTTGGCAGGCAGTCAGGGCCTCTTAATGGCTGCTGGCAGGGGCTTTACCCAACCATCTCCTGTCTGTCTGTCACTGAGGAGGACACATGCTCCAGCAGTGACTGAGACGTAAGTAGTATGAAGTCTGAGGCAAGCTCAGTGGGCAGCAATGCTCAGGCCCAGCCCAGTACGGCAGATGGCGCCCACTCAGTCCCTCTCCTCCCTGCCCTTGGCCTGGTTCCCCTTACTGTGGCTCCACAGGCCTTGTCCTCCCTCAGGCCCCTCTGAGATACTCCCTGCTCCAGTTCCTTGACCTGAAATAAGATCTGTTTTCTCTTAGCCTGGTAGGGGTGATGAGGATCATCTTGGGAGGGGCAGATGGAGGGAGCATTGCCTGAGGGAAGTAACATTCCCTACACACTAGAATTGCTCTCTCTATGGTCACTCAGCAATCACTCAGCAGGGCAGAGCCAGCCAGTGGTAGGAAGGGCACAAATGATGTTTGGATATGTACGTACTTCCACGATGAACACACAGAGCTCCCGTGCAGGCATGCTCAGCTGACTCTTGCTAAGCTGGGCTCTCCTGTAATTATGTGTCTACAAGTCTCTTCCTAGTACACTATGTGCCTCTAGGGCAAGCCTCCATCACCCTTCTTTGTGCCCTCAGCCCCTGGCCTAGCACCATGGCCACTGATGGGGCTCAGCAAATGGGCACAGGAGGAAAGGACAGCTGGTGTGTGCGCTTTGTCTCTTGTGTCGAGCAACATCCACAACTCCAAGGGGCCAATGGCTCAGACTGCCTCTCCTGAGAGCCCTGTCCTGCCTTAGTGGTAGGTCGCCTCACAAGGCCAACCCCTCTCCATGCACCATGAGGTCGCAGACTAACGGCACCTCTAGTCTGATTTCCAATTAGGAAGCCATCCCAGTCTCCTCTTGGCGGCTCTGGATCCTCCCCATGACACTGAGTACCACACCTCTTCCTGAGCTAACCCTCTGCATCCTTCCAGCCAGGCTTCCTTTTACCCTGGTTTGACCACCCTGCTGTCCATCCGATCCTCTGACTGTTATATTTCCTGCCAGTGGCCTTTCTGGGATCCTACTGCCATCCAAACAAAGCCTGTAATTCTACAGAGAGGGACCCCAGGGGGTCCTTCTGCCTCTCTCCTAACCACATGAGCATCCTTTAAGTTCTGGGGTCCAACAGAGTTCCTCCCTGTTTCCCCAGCGTCACAATCTGCCCCCTCCTTCCCCCCCTACCCATCTTCCGACCCCTTACTTTGTCATTTAGCTGTCTGAGGGCAGGACTGTGTGTCTACATTGTCTGTTGTTGGGTCCATAAATATTGACCTCTTGAATGACTGTGTCGGGGGCAGGGCAAAGACCTGCCTTAGGCACAGTGCTCAGAGCAGCATCGGACACATTCGGGTGGAACAAGGAGGGGACAGCTGTGAAGGGATGCCAAGGCTGGCATTTGGAACCCCTGAATTCTGTCTCGAGGTTGGCAGTTCCAACAAGGCATTTCTGTTTTCAGCACCTTACAGTTTATAAAGTGCTCTCACTTAATGCCCCTTGTTCAAGTCCCGTGAGTTCCATTTTGCCCAGACTCAGAGAGTGTCAGCTGTGCTGCTACGCTGTCTGTTAACCTAGGCAAAATTCTTTGATGTCTGAGTCAGTTTCCTCCTCTGTGAAATGGGGATTAGGCCACCTACCTGGGGAAGATGAATATGACATCTCACCTGCAAACCACCACAGTATCGGCTGAGGTTAGGCTCCTTGAGGAGTGACTTCACTCACTTCTGAAGTAGGGACCTAGGCTTTCTCAAACCATTCCCCAAGTCATGCCAGGGCTGTGTCGTTGCTCCTGGCAGAGAGCACCTGAGGGTTACGGGGCTGGCTTGGGATCTAGAGTCTTCCAGAGGCCATCTGTAAATGGCTCCTCAGGGTGAAAAACAGCAGGTGCTATGAGATGCCCACAGGCCTCAGATAGCGCTAGGGAGAGAGGCGAGCGCACCCCAAGTTTTTAACGTATGTATTTTTAAGATAGCGGTCTCATATCCCAGGTTGGGATATATGTATTAATTACTGTGCAGCGGAGAATGACCTTGAACTTCTGATCCACTTACCTCCACCTCTCCAGTGCTGGGGATTACCAACAGTAAATTGATGAGATGCTAGGGATGTAATACTGGGGCTCGAACCTACAGCTAGGCGCGTACTCTACCATTTGAGCTACATCCTCAACCTAACTCCAAGCTTTTATCTCTCACTCCATTCTCCCTATCCATGCCCCTAGCCCAAATTCTCACTCCAGAACCGCCCGGCGGGCGAGCGCCTCCTGGTGAGACTGAAAGGGTAGCCAGGCCTTCTGGCACAGCCTGGGAATAGGTGACCGCAGGTGTGACCCCCCAACAGGAACAGAGCTGATGCTCTTGATCAGATCCTCCCCAGCGCCACGCACCCTGGGAAGCCAGATGGCCTGTACACCCCGCTCCTTCCAGGTTGTCCCTAGAGACAGTTCGTGCCCACCCGGACCCATCCTCGCGTGTCACTGACCCATCTTCTTCAGTGCCCGCAGCCCAGGCCTCTTGGTGCCGCTGTCCGGTGACGCGGGCGAGGGCGGGAGCGCCAGGGGAGTTGCGACCTGGGCGGCCACAAGGGGCTCCTCGGGAGAGCGACGGCTTCTTCTCCAGCTGCCGCACAGCATGGTCTCGGAGGGCCCGGAGCTGGCCCGGGATCTGTGCGTGAGGACGGGGCAACCGGCACACAGCTCGCGCCCAGCCCGCGCCCAGTGCGCGGTCCCGAGCGAAGAAAACTTAGCGGCGCCGTGAGAGTCGGGAGGAGGAGGAGGAGGAGGAGGAGACCTCGGGAGGAGGGCGAGAGGGAGGGAAGAGGTGGAGGTGGGCGGGGCGAGCTGAGAGTGGGCGGAGCGAGGTGCCTGCGGGACCCCAGGCCCGGAGCGCTCGCCCTGCTGGTGAGCCCATCTTTCCATTTCCCCGGAGGTCCCCCGGATCTCCTCCCCTCCGATGACCAGAGTCCCTGTTAGAGGGGGCTGAATACCCTGGGGGGAGAAGACTGACCTCGGGCACAGACTCTTTTTCTGGGGTCTCTGACTCTGTGAAGACTCAGGAGCCTTACTCCATCCACCTTTGCCGTTCCTTTCGGGAGCCAGACAGGGGGCAGGGCTCTATAGAGGCTCGTCCTGGGCTAAAGGGCCCTTGGGAGCCGGGGAAGCCCATGGAACCCCAGAAGGGGCTGCGCAGGGATGGGAGCGGGAGGCTGGGGCAGTGACGTCATGGGTTAATCTCCGGGCTCCGAGCCAGTAGCCACCCCTTCCTTAGACGTGGACTTCTCGAAGCTTACTGATCTGAAGACGGAGGTGCGACTAAGTTTAGGGACCCAGAAACTGGCCCAGGGGTTCAGCGCTTAAGAGGCTTTGGTGACATCCTGGGTCAAGGGATCCGAACCGCGCTCTGAGAAGGTGCTGGTGACGTCATCCCAAGGGAAGGCGCCTTTTACGGGCGCCGGCGCGGTGTTAGATGTACACTTGTGAATGCGAAGGTTGGGATGTCCAGGTGGCTCTAAAGCGCAAGCAGGGAGCTGGCACTTGGCAGCGGCTGGCAGCCAGGCGTTTTTCGGGTGCTAGAATCGCCGTCTACTGCCCCTCCCCCTCTACAATGTTCCCGTATGTCCCAGTCCCGGCAATTCTGTACGTTAGTGAGCTTGAGGCCCCCCCACCATCTCTGCGATCTTAGATTTTCTTACTAAGTGTCCAACCTTCGCTTCTGCTTTTGAGCTTTGATTCCTTCCAGGAATGTTCTTTGTCGCTATTTCTCTGGTTTACTCTTACTTTTCCCAAAACTCAGCTCCAGTTCTGAGGAACGCCGTGCTCCAGGACTCCTCTCCGTTACCAGCGTAGACCTGTTCCAAGAGCTGAGTCGCGGTGTCTCGGATAAGCGGGGCCAGCCTCAGCCGACCGACTCCCGCCAGTTTCCGCCAGGGGGCGCGAGGACTCTGCGACCATTCGGCGGCGTGTCCACCGGGAGGCGCTGCAGCCCGCCTCTGGCCGTCGGGCTGCGCGGCGAGCGACCCATAATTAGCCCCGCCGCCTAAATGGGAAAGGCAGGGCGAAACATTTGCATAGTCTTGAAAGAACCTTTCTGAGTGGTCAGGGTATAGCAGCCGAATGTGAAACGGTGCCTCTCATTGGCTCAATTTTCTTCTTTGCGTCCCGCCCCTCTGGGCCCAGGGGTCAATCGGAAACGACTGGTTAGTGGGGTGAGTAGAGGACCCCGGTGTCCCGGCAGTGGGCGCCCAAGGGTGAGTGAGGGCCCGGGGCGCGGGCAGCCGGGTGGCTGGCTGTTCTTCCCACCCGACTCCTCCTCGCTCGCTGATTCGCCCGTTCAGGAACTGGAAATGGGCAACCTAGAGAGGTGCATCTGGGGACGTCTGTGGCTCTGAGACCCTGCCACCTACCTGCCTCTCCTCCCACCCATGACCACGCTGGTGGTCCTCGCCACTCTGGCTCCACTGACGCTTCCTTGAGGTAGGGGAAAGACCCTCCTCAGCGCAACTTCTGGCCTCCTGGAGTAGCGCTCGGGTCTTGGGACTTGGTTTGCCTCTCTGGGAACTGGACCAGTGGCCACCGTGGACCGTGAGGCCCGGTAACACTGACACCCGCTCCTGCAGAGTAGCTCCAAAGTAGGAGCCCAGAACTTGGAGCAGCATGGGCACCGAGAAGGAAGAGCCCGACTGCCAGAAACAGTTCCAGGCAGCCGTCAGCGTCATTCAGAACCTGCCTAAGAATGGTGAGGCTGTAAGGATTGGCGTTTGGGAGTTGGGGCGTTTTGGGGTTCCAACCCATAAATGGAACTAGGCCTGAACCCTGCAATGTTTACAGACAGACAAGTTCCTCCCTAGCCTGTGGTGGGGTTCCTCTCTGCTTCCTGTTCTAGCTGCGGGGGGCGGGGGGGCGGGGGAACCATGGCCACCTCTGCCCTTCCAAGGTGCAGCCTTCATCCTTTTGGAACTGGGGCTGATGAGGTGCCCTCTACTTCCCAACTCCCTGCTCAGGCTCTTACCGCCCCTCCTATGAAGAGATGCTGAGATTCTACAGCTACTACAAGCAAGCTACCATGGGGCCCTGCCTGGTTCCCCGACCTGGGTTCTGGGACCCCATTGGACGTTACAAGTGGTGAGCTCCCCTTCCGCAGGGTAAAAAATGCCTCAGCTGTCACCCAATTTCTCACAGCCCTCTGCCTCCTAGGGATGCCTGGAACAGCCTGGGCAAGATGAGCAGAGGGGAAGCCATGTCTGCCTACATCTCTGAGATGAAGCTGGTGGCACAGAAGGTAGTGAGGACTGTCTTGCTCGGTCCATACGGGTGGCTTACCCTCACTCTTCCGGGGGTGTGTTCTGTGATTCCTATCCACTGATAGCCTTTATGGAAATCACCTTTCTGTTGCCCTTTCTCCCAATCCTGTCTGATCCTGACTGATACAAGGTGGAGGTACATGAAGAGAAGTAGTAAGGGGAGAGGCTGGGCACCAAAGGGAATTGGAGGTAGCGATGGGAGGGGCCAGCCTGTCCCATTAGAACCCTTCCTGCACAGGTAATTGACACAGTGCCCCTGGGCGAGGTGACAGAGGATATGTTTGGTTGTTTCGAGCCCCTGTACCAGGTGATCCCTGACATGCCGAGGCCCCCAGACACCTTCCTGAGAAGGGTCACAGGTCAGATCTCCAGGATGGGAGCCCTGGTGGGTGGCTGCTGTGGGCAGTAGGAGCAAAGGGCCATAGGTGTGGCATCTGTAAGGTCCTCAGTCAGCACTCCTGTTGGGCTAGTTATCTGCTAGTATGCATGACTAATGGGGACAAGGGACTTGATGTCACTGGAAGATGCCAGCCTCTTCCCTGCTCCTCTTTGAGGCTGTGTCTTGACAGGTTGGAAGGAGCCAGTGCTGCACAGAGATGACGATCAGAGGACTCCAGAGCCTTCTTGCCTCCCCAAGGAGCCAGTTCCTCCAAGTCCAGGTTAGTGGTTCGGCAGGAGAGATACAGAGCCACACCTAGACTGGGAAGGAACACCTTCAGGAGAGGAGAAGCTCGATGCCACGCTGTCCCCTTTATATCACATGTCCAGGGACACTGAGGCTTTCTGTGCTCTCCGAGGTCAAGGGGAGACTCGGAGACTGTTTTCGGGGTCTCATGTCTTGGGCCCATCATGCCTGCTATGGCAAGGACTCTAGGTCCCCTAAGGAAGGGCTCAGTGCTCGGCCACCCACTCTCCCCTCCTTTCAGAGCAGGACCCCCAGCCCCAGTGCAGCTGCCTTTAACAAGAGACTCTCCTTTTCCCTCTGCAGAGTCCCAGCCACCCAGGGACTTGGACCTGGAGGTTTTCTGTGACTCCCTGGAACAGCTAGAGCCAGAGTTGGTGAGACCTCCCCTCTTGTCCCCCATTCCTGCTGTGTCAGAACTGTCCCACCTCTACCCTGGGACCTGGGACTCATCTCAGCAGGTTTGGGCAGAGCAGAGGGGAGCCCCTGGCAGAGAGCTGGACACCAGAAGCAGCCCTGAGTCCCCTAGTGAGAAAGGTGAGCTCTCTACCCTGCCGATGGCCTGACACCCAAGCCTCTTAGGACAAAGGTGGAAGTCCAGTGGGGCCACTGGGGGGCAGCCTGGGAGGGCTACCCAACAGCCAGATGCCTGCCTAGGAGAGCAAAATCCCTGTCCTTGGTCTTCCTGAGGTTGGTGACCTCTGCACCCTCAGCAAAGGCAACTTACAGACACAAGTGCATGGCATTGGGAAGTTGTCCTCTCTCTGTCTAGAACTTCCTGTGTGCTAAATCACCACAGCAATACCTTCATAAATTCTTGTTTATTCCCCTGAGCAGACCAGTCTGGAGAGGACATCTTCCCCTAATTTTCAGGCGCTAAACTAAGGCTTGGAGAAGTGAATGATTTGCCCAGAGTCACATAGCTGACCAGTGGCAGTGCTAGGTCAGGCCTGTGCCAGCAGCCCACCACTCAGTCCTGCAAATGGACCTTGTAAAGGCCACACTCGGGACAGGGATCAAGCATCATTACTCTTCTCTGGACTTTTCTGGGCCTGCCCCAACTTGTGCAGACTGTCTCCTGAGTTCCCTTCCTGTGTCTCTATGCTCCACAGAGGGGTTGGAAGGCAGCCTAACTGGGCCCCAGGAATTGGACAGATGGTTGGTGGCGACAGTCCGGGCCATGCAGGAAAGCATGAAGAATGTCCAAAGGAGACTCGAGAGCCTGGAAAGCAAGGCCCAGCCATGTGAGCAAGTGAGTGTCTCCCTCCTTCACTAAAAGATTGGGCAAGAGTGCTCAGAACTTCACTCTGGATTCTTCATCCAGCTGTTTTGGGTTTTGGTTCCATGACTCCACCTGTCCGATACTCTGTGCAGAGAATGGTACAGCCCCTTTTCTAGTCAGGGAAGCCATCCAGTGGGAGTATTTTCCACCCTAGGGGGAGTGGGGGAAGAGTCTACTAGGAAAGGGGGACCAAGAAAAACCAAGCAGGGAGTCATTCCCAAGTATTCAAAGGGCCACAAAGTGTCTGCTTTTTGTACTGGAGATGGGATCACTGTTGGCCCTCAGCCAGCACCCCTGTTCCTAGATTTAGGGTTTGCCTCCAACAGTTCAACTTTACGCCTTTCATTTCCTCGCACCCCATCTCATGCAGAACAGTTCACAGCACAGTTACACCCCTAATCTATATATCCTTTTGTTGTTTTGATTTGATTTAATTTGTCTTATTTGAGGCAGGAACTCAGCCTAAACCTAGGCTGGTCAGGGACTCACTTTGTAGCCTGGGCTGCACCTCTGGTAATCTGCCTACTCAGCCTTGGGAGTGCTGGGGTTACAAAGCCCCTCTGCCTGGCTGACCAAGTGGTTTTTTGGTTTGTTTTTGGTTTTGGGGGGGTTTTTTGTTTTTGCTTCTTGGGAGGGATTTCTCTGTGTCGCCTTGGCTGTCCTGGAACTAGCCCTGTAGACCAGGGTGGGCTTGAACTCCCAGAGATCCATCTGCCTCTGCTTCCCAAGTGCTGGAATTAAAGGTGTGCCCTAGCATGCCTGGCTTTTTTTTTTTTTTTAAACAGTCTTCACCACTGCTCAGTCCAAGTGTTCTTCAGTTCCGACCAGTTCTTTGCCGTCCTGCTAACTTACTGATATTCTTTCCCTCTCCCTCCCTTTCTCCTCCCCCTCTCTTTCTCTCCCCCCCTCTCTCTCTCCCCCTCTCTCTCTCTGAATCCTCAATCACCATGTTGCCTACCGGCTTGGCTTTTGCCTATTTGTGTGTGGTATTATCTTTCTCTGGATCCCAAAGGCTTAGAATTTACAGTCCTCTAGCCTCAGCCTCCCGAGAGTGTTGAGATGACAGGCATTCACCACCACACATGGCTTTATTTATCTTTTGCAGAAGAGGAATAAAGGCCTGAGAATTTAGCTTACCTGAGGGCACACAACATGGGGTCCTTCACTGAACTGCTTTTGCCAGTACCCAGTACCTAGCAATGGGCTGTGTTGTTATTACAATGATGTTTAGTATCGAGTGATGAAGCACACAGTGGTCCCAAGTCTCTTGGTACCTACCCTAGTGAAAGAGTGTTTAAAACAGGACTGGGACTGGTTGCTGTATTTGGAGATCTAGGGTGTGACCCTTAACCTACTGAGGGTGGTGGATCTGAGTCCTGGTGACAAGGATTTCAACACTGCCTCCCCTCCCCCACGGCATTTTTTTTTTCCTGTTTTACCTTTTACCTACTTGAAATTTGAAGGATTCCCCTCAAGCCACCCCCCCCCACTAGGGACTTTTGTTTTTGTTTTTGTTTTTTTGTTTTTTTTGGTGACAGGGTTTCTCTGTGTAGCTTTGGAGCCTATCCTGGAACTCGCTCTGGAGACCAGGCTGGCCTTGAACTCACAGAGATCCTCCTGCCTCTGCCTCCCGAGTGCTGGGATTAAAGGCGTGCGCCACCACTGGCTTGATCCTAAGCATTTTAAGTAGATTGTTACAGCATACCTCCAATCCTACCACCCTGAGGCAGAGTCAGGAAGATCTATGACATCTGAGGCTCGCCTAAGCTACATAATGAGTTCCACATCAGCCAGAAAGCAAGAATTATATTGTAAGCATCATAAAGCTCTACTCTGAATATATTTTATTACAATTCTATAATATCACCAGATAGCCAATCCAAGTTCAGATTTTCCTAGTTGTCTTGAAACTGCCTCTTCCAGCTGCTGTGGTGCACTTCAGGGTCACACTATTCCCGGTTCATCATCATTATTACTGTTGTTGGCTGTGCGGAGGGGCAGGTGTCAAACCCAGGGCATTCAGCTCAGTATCTAAGCTTCATCCCTCAGCCTAAACTAGTCCTGGCATAGAGGCATGTAGAATGCCCCACTTTAGGGGTCTAATCATGTCTAAGTTCCTTGTACATTGTATTTTCTGTGGAATGGTGTAAGGTACAATGGTGTAAGATAAGATACACCATACAAAAATGGTGTAGTATCCAGCTAAACATTCTGGTCAGGATTCCATCCGACTAGGTGAGGTAGCTTACACTTGTTTTTGGTTTAGTGTTTTTTTTTTTTTGTTTTTTTTTTTTTTGTTTTATGTGTATGAGCGTTTTGCCTGCATGTATGTATGTGTACCACATGAGTGCCTGGCATCCTCATAAGTCAGAAGAGGGTGTTGGATCCCCTGAAACTGGAATCAAAGACAGTTGTGAGCTGCCATGAGAGTGCTAGGTACAATGCAAGAGCAGCCAGTGCTCGTAACTACAGAGTCATCTAGCTAGCTAGTCCTTGGGGGGCAGGGAGATGGGGGACTGTGTGTTTTTTGTTCTTTTGTTGTGTTTGAGATAGGGTCTCATTGGGTACCTCTGGCTGGCCTGAACTCACTATGTAGACCAGGCTGGTCTTGAACTCACTGTGATGTGCCTGCCTCTGTCTCCTTCCCTCTGCCACCCAGTGTAGTTTACACTTGTAATCCTTGCACTAGGAAGGCTGAGGTGGGAGGGTTGCTGTGAGTTCCAGGTCAGCCTGAGCAATAAAGTAAGACCCTGTCTCAGTAAATTAAAAACAGAAATCTGGGGGCTGGGAAGATGGATCAGCTGTTAAAAGAACTTCCTATTCACCCAGAGGCCCCAGGTTTACTTCCTTGCACCCATGTCAGACAGCTCTGAAATGCCTGGAACTTCAGCTCCAGGGAATCAGACCTTGATGGGCACACACGCACACACACACATGCATGCACAATAAATAATTATTTTACAAACAACAAACCATATCAGAGTGGTGCTCCTCACTTCAGAGGACGCTCGGGGACAAGTGGTGTCTGACTCTCTACCGATATTGAGTCTAGCATAGATGCATTGCTGGCCTAGATGCAAGGGTGACATTCTGCCCCAACTCCATGGTATCAAGTTTTCCTCTTGAAGCCATGGAATATCCAATTCATCAACTATTTGCCACACTGTGTTTGACAACTGATCATCTTTGCCTCCATAGCAATTTATTTAGTGCTTGCAAAAAAAAATGTTACTTTTCAATTCTCTTATTCCTCCAGTAGGTTAGCATTTTGTTTTCTGTAGGGTTTTCTTGAAACAAAGTTGTCCACAGAAAAAGCACAGTTTCTTTTTTTTCTTCTTTGAAGCTGGTCTTCCTTTCTTTTTTTTTTTTTTTTTTTTTTTTTTTTTTTTTTTTTTTTTGTGACAGGATCCTGATGTGTAAGCCAGGCTAGCCTTGGAATCCACCTATGGTCTCCTGAGTGCTGGGATTATAAGCAGGGGCCACCATGCCCATCTTCATCTCTTGTTTTTCACAGTGCTGTGGTGGAACTCGGGGGTCTTGCACATGCTAGGACGTGCTGCCCCATGGAGCTGCTTCCCTAACCCGTGTTTATTTCTTTATTTGTTAACATTAATTTTGTGTCTATTTTGCTTGTTTGCATGTGTGTTGTATGTGTATCATATGTCTGCCTTGTGCCCAATCAAAAGAGTGTCAGGTCCCCTGGAACTGGAGTTATGGATGGCTGTGAGTCGTCATGTGGGTGCTGGGAATTGAACTTTGCCCCTCTGCAGAGCAGCAAGTGTTCGTAACCACTGAGCCATCTCTCCAGACCCTAATTAATGTTTACAGTAAGGAACTGACTGGCAAGCTCCTCAGTGGTGTAACTTCTAGATTTCTTATTGTCACAGACTCCTAAATTTTAAAGACTCAGCATTTTAGTCATCTGTAATCATTCTTTTGTTTTTTTTCTGCAGTTCTGGGGATTGAACCCAGCATCTCACATGCTAGGCAGTGCCCTTCCACAGAGCTCTCTCTGTCTCTCTTTTTTAAAATGTTTATTTTATATACATGAGTGTTTTGCCTGAACATATGTCTGTGCACCAGTCTGTGCAGTGCTGCCCTTAAAGAGGTTGTTGGATGCTCCAGTGGAGTCACAGGCTCCACCGTGTACTGCTCCCTGAGTATGTGTGTATAAGTCAGTGGACAACTTTGTAGAGTTGGCGGTCTCCTACATTTATGGAAGCTCTGGGAATTGAACTCAGGCAGTCAGGCTTTACCCACTGAACTATTTTATCAGTTCCCCTCCCCCTCCCCCCTTTTTCCGAGACAGGGTTTCTCTGTGTAGCATTGGAGGCTGCCCTGGAACTAGCTCTTGTAGACCAGGCTGGTCTCGAACATACAGAGATTTGCCTGCCTCTGCCTCCCGAGTGCTGGGACACCACGGCCCGGCATTTTTTTTTTTTCTTCCTTAAACTAGATTGTCACAACTTTGGAGACCCTTTTAAGTCAGATCCTGTCCCTAGACCCCAAGTTCATCTTTAGGGGCTCTCGAGCTTTTTATTACAAGACGTCTCACGCTGCCTCACCTTCCCTGACCCGATCCTAGAATCGGCTGCTACTCCTAGGAGTCCTAGCTCCTTCTAGAATAGATACTAGAAACTAACGTCTGAGTCCTTGTTTGAAATGTGTGGTGTATGTTTTACAGTACAGGCCTTCAGCCGGGTCCTTCCTTCTTTTGCGGCCTGCAGGACCCAGTTTGGAAGCCAGTCTCTCCTATCACCTGGGATTGGACGTGTGTGTGTGTGTGTGTGTGTGTGTGTGTGTGTGTGTG